CCTGATGATTTTACTTTATGTTCGATGAAAGCTGGATCAGATCTTGCTAATATGGTTAAAGAAGCAGCGATGATAATCTGGGACGAAGCCCCTATGATGAGCAAGTATTGCTATGAATCCTTGGATAGAAGTTTGTCTGATATTATTGGAAATGTAGATGGCAATCCTTTTGCAGGCAAAGTTATGGTTTTTGGAGGGGATTTTAGACATGTTCTACCTGTAATTAATGGTGCAGGGAGAGCGGATATAGTTATGTCTTCATTGAATTCGTCTTATATTTGGGAACATTGCAAGCTCCTGAAGTTAACTAAGAACATGATGCTATTGTCTGGTAATCTGAGTCGCGATGAAGCTAATGAAATTAAGAAATTCTCAGAATGGTTATTAGATGTCGGAGATGGAAAACTTTCGGAGCCTAATGACGGTGAAGCTCTAATAGATATTCCTGAAGAATTACTTACTACTGAAGCGACTGATCCCCTTGAAGTGATTAGCAATGAAGTTTATGGTGATCCAAATTTGTTGATACAGAATGATGATCCAAACTTTTTTCAGGAAAGAGCTATCTTATGTCCAACCAATGAGGATGTTGATTCGATCAATGAACTTATGCTTGATAAAATTAAAGGTACGTTGTTATTTCTTATAATATTTACATTTAACTCTAAAGTTGTTATTAATATATGCATAAGTATACTGAGTTAATTATTTATTTGTATCAGGTGATGAAAGAGTTTATTTAAGTGTTGATACTATAGATCATATGGATACAGTTTCAAGCAACAATCTAATTTTCACTCTTGATTTCCTACACAGTATAAAGGTACATGGATTACCCAAACATTCTATACGTCTTAAGATAGGGGTTCCAGTGATGTTGCTACGAAACATAGATCCTAAGGAGGGATTATGTAATGGAACTAGATTACAGATAACACAAATGACTGATCATGTTTTAGAAGCTCGAGTTATTACAGGAGATAGAGTGGGTTCTAAGGTTTTGATTCCTAAGATTGTGATTTCTCCATCAGACGTTAAGCTGCCTTTTAAAATGAGAAGAAGACAGTTTCCATTAGCTGTAGCTTTTGCTATGACCATTAACAAGAGCCAAGGACAATCACTAAAGGAAGTTGGTCTGTTTCTTCCTCGGCCCGTGTTTTCTCATGGTCAGCTTTACGTTGCACTCTCTCGAGTTACTTCTAAGAAAGGTTTGAAAACTCTTATAATAGACAAGGAAGAGAATCCTCAGAAGCAGACTACAAATGTTGTTTTCAAAGAGATTTTTCAAAACCTTTAGTTGTTATAACAATGAGTTAATTTCTTCTAGCTGTTACTTTTATTTGATTTTTTATAGTTGGTGTTTTTGTATTTCAAACTTTTCTATTTTCAATCAATCATTGTCTATTAAGCAAAGAATTTTTATTGAAATACTCATCATTCATCTTACGTATACTCAGGAATATAAAAGAACGAAGAGAAACTAACCTGTTCTTCTGGATTTTCTTTGAATTCCGTTTAGTTGCAAAAAATCCTTTTATTTTCCAAATGTGTAGCATCTCATGTATTCGGAATTTTAATCTGTTCACGAATTTCCTATTTAAAAAAAAACAAGTAATTATAATCATTTTTTGTGCTAATTCACAAAAATAAAAAAAAATTATATTCCAGACGAAGAAATATTCATAAAAAAAAACGCTCATGTTTATAATTAGGAATAAAAAACACTGTCTCGTTTAATTATTTGGTTAATTATCAAAAATATCAATTATAATTATCACGCTTTCAAAAACAATCTATTGTAAACATTATTTACGAAAAACACCGAAGAAAAAAATATGAGTTACTTATCTTTTTTTTTTTTGTTGTAGAAGTATTCATCGGACGTTTCTTTCCGATTCATCCCTGTAAGAAACACAAACAACGATTGATCTACGGTTAATCATCACCTCAACTATTTGTGTAACTAATTCTACATGCATGAAAAGATATACAATTACTTATCTGGAATTTGCCCTCCCAAGAACAATCGCAAAGTCAATCGGCCAAATTTTGACTTTATACTCTGAAAACGAATCTTCAATTTATGAGATCGAACAGATCGATTGAACCGATGATTGAATTGCATGAAATAATCGGAACTCTTCGTTATTTGCAAGATCGAAGGATTTAAACGGCGAGATCAATCGACTTTGCTATGAGATCGATGTGTTTGAAAGAAAATAGAGATTTAAGTAGATCAGAAGATTAGAGTAACTTCTGTTCAGAGATGTGTGTGATTTGGGGGAGAAGAAACGAAGCAGGAGAAGAAATGAATCTGATTTTTGGTTTGTCTTTTCGTCGAAGTCGGGAGAAGAAGAGTCGAGTTGAAGCTTTGTCTTCTCGATAGTTTAGAGAGGAAGAGTCGAGAATCAAAGACCGTTTAGTTTATTATTTTGGGCTTTTTCAAGTTGGGCTTTTTTAAATTGGGTTTTTCTTTTTTGATTGTTGATATTTTATTTAGTTTCTTTTCAAATTTGAAATAATTAATACAATTTTTTTATTCAATTAACAAGTCTAATTTTTTGTTTAATTTTTTTTAATAATTTTAACATCAACACTGATATTTTTTCTGTTTGAAATTATTTTAAAATAACATATTCATAATTCATCAAAATCATTTGTAATATAATAAATCGTTACCAATTGCGATGGTAGATAAAAATAATTAAATTTATGTATACGCACAATATAACTTATATGTTTCGATATTATTTAAAAGCAATTCAGTACTTAAAGTAATTCATACATATATATATATAAAATAAAAATATTTTTATATTAAATCAAAATATAAGTTTTCATATTTCCTAAGTTGACCACAAATATAATGGTAAAACACAAAAAATAAGAATGTTCCTGTATTCATCTACTATATAATTTTTAAGAGTCTTATTTAATTAAAATAAAATATTTAACAATCATCTTAATCAAATATTAACAGTGTTAAATAATAACTTCATCAAAAATAATTCACATATATTTTTAAAATCTATCGAATTCTAAATCAAAATCTTAACTATACAAAATAATTCACAGATATAATCGACAAATGATCCAATAATTATACAAACATAACTACAAACTTAGAATACATATCACACGTAAAGAAAAGAAAATACCATTCACAAATAATAACACTTTTTAGTTCAACAAACAATAAAAGTAGACAATAAACATATCAGTCAATATAATAAAATATATATCTGCAAAACTAAACTGCATAGTATAATTTAAATTAAATATATATATATAATCAATTATCTCGCACGTAGAGCGGATTAAATCTTAATATAAAATAAATGACACATTTCCAACTAGACACAACGGGTACAAATATGATACAACTTGGTTTTTTTATAATGTATATAGGATTCAAGTGAATAATTCAAGTTGTAAAAATATGTGTTTCTTAAAATGGACGAAAGGCGTTCTTGTGGGTGTATGAAGCGGTCTTGGAGACATCGCAACATCACACGATCTCCTATGCTGCGACAAATCACTACTAACCCTCCATAATTTCCAAAAAATATTAATCATGACATTAACGCCGTTACCATTCCAAGAATCGTGAATCACAAAACTTGTTTACAGTGGTCCATTACGAGTTGCGACCACGGACAATGACTAACGATAGCGATCAGCTGTTGTTACTATTTCAATTTAGAACGGATATAGCTAGTGGCTGCAATCTATCTTTTTGTTTTAGTCACAATATTTGGTCCACAATCACTATGACTGTCAAAACAAACAGATCTTTATTAAGCCATGAGTCTCACATGTGCCGATCGAAACCACAATTTTTCCCAACTAAGTACCGTAACTAACAAATATACAGTATATTTATGATGTAACGGATACATATGCAAATACCATTTTATCACGGCTTGATTGATCCATGCAAAATCAGCGGCTTTAGAGCATTTGTAATGGTGATTTTTTAGAGGATTCTAAAGTAAAAAAATAAAAATAAATAATAAGACTAAAAAATAGAAACGGCTTTCTGTACAGAAATGGAAGACGCGGTCTCTCGTATAGGTGGCAAGATCTAATTTATCAACTTTTGTTTTTTTAATAATAAAAATCAATTTTTTAATAATAAAAAAAATTAAAAGTTTTCTATGCTGGTATTTTGTGATATTAATATTTTTAGAGCATCCACAATGAAGAATTGGTGACAAGCTCTTAAATTAAAAATAAAAAATAAATAAAATGAACAAGTTTTGGAAGATAGGCGAATTGGAAGAGTCGGCTCTTCCCAAATTTTTGACATGTGTTACAGTATGATTAGTCAACTTTATTATTATTTTTTTCGAAAATCAATTTTTTTTTAAAATAAAAAGAAAAATTTGTTTTTCTAAATAATAAAAAAATTGAAAGAACCCTATGTGTAGATCTCTCCATTACTGATGCTCTTAGCCTCTCGAGCATTGGTTCCAATCTAAATTATACAGTTATTTTAATAAATAGTAAAGGAACAAATTTTAAAAAATTTCTTAACAAATTCAGTGTTTTCCAATAAATAAAACAAAGTATAATCTAAGATCAATACATCTTTTTTTTTACCGCAAAGATAATATAATATTAACAGAAGATCAATACATCTTCTTTCTTTTGCAAAGGCTGTATATCAACATATACATGCAAAATTGCAAATGCAATTACTTTCAATGGTTCGTTTACCACAATATTAAACTGATTAGCTTCCAAAAATAATTTTTTTAAGAAAAAAGCATGAAAAAAATTTCGACCGTCAATTTAACCAATGGGCCAAGAAGAGATGTCGTCCAAAGGTACGTTCACAGGTGCACGACGACGACAAAAAAAAAAAACACTCGTATAAGAGGGACCCACTAAGTGGGTCCACCTTGCCAAAGCCAGAGGCAAATCTGAGCCGTCGATTCTTAGCCACTGAATCAAAACGTACGCTCCAAAATGTTACTAGCCTCAAGATTCGAGCAAATTCTCGGAGTAATGCCCCATTGCCCACTCTCATGTGATGGAAATCAAATCCATAAACACCTCAACAACTCTAGTAACGACACGTGTCACTTGAGTCAGTCCCAGCTTCCACTCTTTTACATAAACAGAGGTCCTTCTTCTTCTTCCTCAATTTCTCCTCACCTCTCTCTGATCATCACATTATCATCTCAAAACCATTAGCTTCAAAGCTCTGAGCTCTAGATTTCCTCAGTTGCCGCCGAAATCTGTGAGCTTTTCCTTCTGTTCTATTGGGTTAATAAAATTTATGATTTTTCGTTTCTAATTATGAGCTTTCTATATTTCCACGGTCAAAATTATCAGAACACGTTACGTTTTGTTGTGTTTCTTCCTTTAATCTGACCATTTTCAGAATATTTATCTGTTAAAAAGCTATTTTTTCTCCCTCCTTATGTTCAGTGATTACTAGTCATTCGACGAAATGCACAGCTCACTTTTTTTTATGTAATATAATTCATAGAATCATCGCAAAGATTGCATCTTTCTACTGAAAGCATCGATTTTGATTTCGTTCTGTTGTTGAATCCAGGTGAAAGGGTCTCTCTTTCTCACGATGGCAACTGTGACTGCTTCCCACTTTGTGTCAAGAGCCTCACTTGTCAACAACCATGGAGCTTCAGGCTTTGAATCCAACGCAAATCTGTCTCAAATCACCTTGAAGGGTCAATCTGTGACTCACTATGGGCTAAGGTCTTTCAACATGGTGGATAGGCTTCAGAGGAGATCTAAAGCTGACGCTGTTTCTGCCAAATCCTCAAAGGGATTAAAGCAGAACGCTCCTAAAGCTAAACCTGTTGGTAAGATTGTGTGTGAGAAAGGGATGTCTGTGATCTTTATTGGAGCTGAGGTTGGTCCATGGAGCAAAACAGGAGGTCTTGGTGATGTCTTAGGTGGTCTGCCTCCAGCTCTTGCCGTGAGTTTCGTATACACATGAGCTTGATTTGATTGTCTCGACGTCTTTGTTTCGTGTTGATGAACCAAAAGTTATGGTTTTGTTAGGCTAGAGGCCACCGTGTGATGACGATATGCCCTCGGTATGACCAATACAAAGATGCTTGGGACACTTGTGTCGTGGTTCAGGTAAAGATGAACCTTGAGTTTCTTAATATATTCCTCAAGTGATGAATATAGGATGATTGGTTAACTCATCTTGTAATGTTGTTATCTGATGAAATAAATGCAGATCAAAGTTGGGGATAAAGTTGAGAACGTTCGTTTCTTTCACTGCTACAAACGAGGAGTTGATCGAGTCTTTGTTGACCATCCAATCTTCCTAGCCAAGGTTTGTTTTCTTGCTGAGCTAATCACAAGGTTGATTCAGGTATTTTGTAATATGTTCTTATGGGGAATATAATAGTGTAGGTTTTGGGCAAAACTGGATCCAAAATCTATGGCCCTATAACTGGAGTAGACTACACTGACAACCAACTCCGGTTCAGTTTGTTGTGTCAGGTAACACTCTTTTCTTTTTACTTCTTTAGTTGAACTCTTGATGTTTGTGTTCAGCTTCTTGTAGCAGAATCTTGTGTTTGAACTAAATATATGCGTCCATTGCAGCATAAAGCAATAACTTGATTTACTTTTGATCGTTGGTAGGCTGCTCTTGAGGCTCCACGAGTTCTGAACCTGAACAGCAGCAAGTATTTCTCTGGACCATATGGTGAGAATGATTTCTGAGTTCCTACAAAATTCTTTAAATTCTGAAAAGTTTTATAATACAATCTCCGATATTTTATAGGGGAAGATGTGGTCTTTGTTGCCAATGACTGGCACACTGCTCTCCTTCCTTGTTACCTCAAATCTATGTATCAATCACGCGGAATCTACATGAACGCAAAGGTAATTTATTTAACTTGTGTTCCTTTGTAAATGCGTTAAACAATGCAAACTTCACCAAATCTTAGAAAAAAGCTTGAGCCTTGATACTTGCATACTCTTACAGGTTGTCTTCTGCATTCACAACATAGCCTACCAAGGAAGATTTGCCTTTGAAGACTTTTCTATTCTCAATTTACCCAACAGCTTTAAGAGCTCTTTCGATTTCATGGACGGGTACTGATTTCCTCTGAAACATTCTCACAAGAAAGTACACACTCTGTTTCAGGTTTCAATCCTCAGTCGAATATGTCTTCTTGTTCCATGTTTCAGGTATGAGAAGCCAGTAAAAGGACGGAAGATCAACTGGATGAAGGCTGCGATTCTCGAAGCAGACCGTGTCTTAACAGTTAGTCCATACTATGCTCAAGAACTCGTCTCTGGCATCGATAGAGGCGTGGAACTGCATTCATACCTTCGAACAAAAGCAGTCTCCGGAATCATTAACGGGATGGACGTTCAAGAATGGAACCCGGCTACTGACAAGCACATCGATATCAAATACGATATCACCACTGTAAGTTTTTCTCTGGAAGATCAAATGCATTTGAATAGAAGAAGTTGAGGGGGAAACAGTGACTGAATCAGTCCCCTTTTGTTACCTTGTTTGTGTAGGTTACGGATGCTAAGCCATTGATCAAAGAAGCTCTTCAGGCTGCTGTTGGACTTCCAGTGAACAAAGATGTCCCAGTCATCGGTTTCATTGGGAGATTGGAGGAGCAGAAGGGATCTGATATTCTAGTGGAAGCTATCTCCAAGTTCATGGGGCTAAATGTTCAGATGGTTATCCTTGTGAGTACACAAAAGCAATTGACTTTTAGGATCATATAACAGTTTCTATTAACCTTTCATATTGAATCTTCTCTGATATTGTTCACAGGGAACCGGTAAGAAGAAGATGGAGGCTCAGATTCTTGAATTGGAAGAGAAATTCCCGGGGAAAGCGGTTGGAGTAGCGAAGTTCAACGTGCCATTGGCTCATATGATCACAGCAGGAGCTGACTTCATCATTGTCCCGAGCAGGTTTGAGCCGTGCGGTCTCATTCAGCTTCATGCCATGAGATATGGAACAGTACCTATTGTGGCTTCTACTGGTGGTCTTGTGGACACTGTTAAAGATGGTTACACAGGTTTCCACATTGGAAGATTCAACGTCAAGGTAAACTCAAAGTCACATGCTTTTCACGCTTTCTATAATTGTTTCTTCCGACATCAGAACAAAAGTTTCGATTTTGATTGTGTTTACAGTGTGAAGTCGTGGATTCGGATGATGTGATTGCAACAGCAAAGGCCGTGGCTAGAGCCGTTGTAGTGTACGGAACATCCGCGATGAAAGAGATGGTCAAGAACTGCATGGACCAAGACTTCTCCTGGAAGGTCAGTGTGATTCAATTCATTCTAAAGATTTTGAAACTTTGTGTTGATGAAATCAGTCTTTAGTTTGTAAAGTTTTGATTTCATGGAAAAGGGTTTGTGATTTTGATGGATGCAGGGACCTGCGAGATTGTGGGAGAATGTACTATTGTCATTAGATGTCACCGGAAGTGAAGCTGGAGTCGAAGGTGAAGAGATAGCTCCTCTGGCGAAGGAGAACGTAGCGACGCCGTGAGAATGTGATTTTCTTTGTGTCAAAGTTGTCGAAGGGAGGAAAATTAGGAGTAGAGGAAGGTTGAGTAAAAGTAATGTTATGTGTATATAGGAGAAAAATGTTAACAGTCTAATATAATAATGGACATGTTCGCATCTAGATGTTGTTCGTTTTGTCATATTAATTATCTAGTAGATGTATTCGTTTTGTTATATTAATTATGAGTTTGAATAAAAAAAATCGTATTTAAAATTAGTTGCATCCCAAGTATCGTTAGTTACAATAAAAACTAGGTGGTGGTCCGCGCATGGTGCGGACAATGAATATTCATTATACTTATTTTGTCAACACATTCAGAAGATATATAGAAGTTTAAGATAGTTATAACGAATATAAGTGATCATTCAAACAATATATATCATGCTAGCGTATATTTTTAAAGTAGCAATATTGGTTATTAGATAATATCTTTTTTTAACATAAAAAATAGTTAACATAAAATTTTTATAAGAGTTGCGTTAATCAAACTCTTACTAATCATCGATATCGATATAGTCTTTCTCTTCGTCCTCATTGCCATGCTCACTCAGTCCAATCCTATTCAAACATATTTAAGCATAATAGTTACAAAAATAGTTGATCATTATCACATAATCTTAATATTTATTTGAAAAAAAAAATTTCTATCTTACAACATATCTTGCAATTCATGTGCCTCTTGAAGATCAGGATTGAACAAAACTCTCGAGACACCGAGATGATCAGTAACATGATATTCCTCTACAAAAAAAATGATCCTCACTCAAAAGGCAAAGTTCAATAATAATCTTAAGATAATAGCACAATTGTCATACCATTGCATACGACGCGCCAGTCACTTAGAACACAAATGACCAATTGTTCAGTACAATAACACCACCTATCGTTGAACTCAATGGCCAGCTTTCCGTGTGCAGAACACTTGATCATCCTATCACTATAACTATGTTAGACTGACTTGTTATGTACTATAAATATTTTGAATATAACACAAAACACTAAACAAATACTTACGTATCGTCCGTTAATGTAAACTCAATCCTTGCTGTCATTTTTGACTCAAAATCTTGAAACGAACGGTCTTTGACAACCCAAAGTTCGCCAACAGTGTCAACAACACCAATTAGATCTGTAAGTATTATTTCAGGAAAATGCTTGTAAGACGCAATCGTCGATTTGAAATCATATCGAGAAATCCGCAAGAAGACTTACCGACAGGACAGTTTCGTTGAAAATTCCCTAGGTAAAGATTCTCATAGCTAAGTAAACGCAAATGTGGATCCTTTCCCTTGTACAAATCACCAGTTTTGAGATCTCCCAAGACTTTAGTGCTGGAATCAAACTCAATTCGCCAACAATTTGTTGTAACTTGCCTCGCCGATCTCGCAGAGACCACACTGAAATTTCTAATTCTTCTCCATAAGCCTCCCTCGTGGAGCCTCTAAAAAAAATAAGGAACACACTCCTCATGTCCTACTGTTGCTTGAATTTTTGAACCCTAAACATTTGGAACCTTTCTTAATTAAAACGCCTAATCTGAATCAAAGAAGGAGAAAAAATGCAAGCAAAAACATACCTGATCATCAAGCAGTATGAAGTGAAGAACATCACCAGCGTCTGGTACCACCTCAAACCATCTTTTATAAACTATAACTCTGATAGTCCAATCCGTTCGCGAAGAACACAACTGACTAATTTTAGTAATTTCGACCATTGTCAGGGATTTAGAGAACATACGAAATCGTTTAAAGATATTTCTATTTTCCAAGAACCAAAATACCACAATGTACTTTTGATATGAACTGATTACGGCACTTGTTTCTTGAATATAGCAAAGATTTGAGTAGAAAACGAATACCGATAAGTAAAATTTTCAAATATTGAATCATTATGCATGTATCGAATAAAGGTAAAGAAAAAAACGGTTCAGAACTTTCACTATTGACGACAGTTTACATTCTTCAAGGCAGGATTTAGTCATTAAAAATTGTGCTAACCTGTAAAGTGACGTTCGAACCTAACTACACTGCGGCCCAGTACAATTTCTAATCAATAACGTCATAAAACTTTAAAGACAATGCTTACTCGAACAGAATGTAAACTTAAATATTATAATTTTAGCAACATATGAAGTCTAGAAAATATTCATAGATAACATAATTGAATATAAGTTTTGAACAGAATCAGTGTGCATGTATAGAACAAATGAAAAGAATCAAACAGTTCAGATTATTGTTATTCGTGACAGTTCGCATTCATCAAGATAGACTTTAGCTATTAAAATACAGAAATTATAATAGTAACGTTTGATATTGATTATTAGAACTTGAAAATACTTTGACACCAAGCCTATCGAAGGGCCGTTTATTACTGGGCTGATGTAATTATTACGAATTTTAGTTGGACCAAAGCGTAACCACCATGCTGCTTATTTTCAGTTAAATAATTCAGGTATAAATCAATAAACCAGCTAATAACTTGTTCCATGCATTAAAATCCAAATGTAATGTTCAAATATAAAAGCAAACAAAAGAATCATGATAAATACACCAAGAACATATAAAGTGAGACCATTTTTTCCCACGAATCATAGACTTTCTGTCGATGGATACCTCGAAACACACCTTGCAGTGGAAACCTCTTCGTCATATTGTAACCTGCAATTAGATACATTATATTACTAAAGATACATTAGATAATCTAATTAAAATTTTAGAATATAGTAATATTACCTATCACGAAACCGATGAACATCCGGAATGTCTGCATTGAAAATAAATTCACAATACTTCTTTCTTGCGATGACATTAAAAGTACCTATTAAAAAGATTTAATACAGTAATTCACTGAAGAGCAATCTATTGTAATAAGTGAACAATACCAACTGTATGTAATAAGGCAATACCGTCATAATTTTTATTGATAGTCCACCACCTCAGGATACAGATAACTTCTACATTGTGACTTTGTTTCCATTGCAATGTAAAATCTTCAGCCAATTTCCCCATCGCATAACACTCAATCACACGTTTTCTACACAATAAAATGTTCAAACAATGAGATACATTATTACTGTTCATGCTGAATATTCAATTCATTTACCTGTCATCTTGAAGCTCAAAAAGAATTACAGCGTAATCTTCTTGTATCTTCGTCTCATCAAAAATCTCGAGCTCACCAACATTCACAAGAACACCTATTAATTCTGTAGAAATTGGGTAGTCAAATTTCAGCAACTCTTTCTTACCTTTTATGATAATCGAATCTATTATTCATAGACGAAGAATTACCGATACTATACATGTCATCGAGACGGCCTCCAAGAACGTCTCCAAAATCAGCGAATGATAAAAACAGAGAATTTATACGCTCGCTGACCGTAAGAAACGTTGTATTGGTAACGAACTTCACCTTAAAAGGATGCCTTATTACACGAGTTATGGCATTCGAAGTCCACTCAAAAGACTCCAGTGACCAATTATAAGATCATGTTCAAATAAATAGATGTATTTATGTCCGATGGAAGCCTGTATCTTAGACCCCTGCATAATCATGCAAGATTCAAACAGAACATGTATAAATCGTATGAGATATGAAAAGAAGCAACATTTAATTACAGACTTGATGAATAAACTTACATGAATATCAACGAAGATCAGCTTTAGTTTATTTCGGCGATGTCTATCTTTTTCAGGCCATTTCTTGAGCAGCATAACATCAAGAGCAGGATCGACAACCAGGTGATCTATTTTAGAGACTTTTAAGAACCGCGACATTTTAAAACAACTATTAGATGCAAAAATTTCCAAGAAAACGAAGTAATTGTGTACAGAGGACTATGGCAAGTCACTTTATCAAAAAATAAGTGAAGAGAGGGGAAACAGTTTTTCGCATAGACATCGAGTATATTGACCATTAGAATACTATTATTTATATATGATGTGTTCGTATCATCGATTGTATATAAATTGCAAAAACCGAGGTAAATTTTGGGAACATATAATAAATTTAAAAATGTATAATATTATGAATACTGATGTATCAGCTAAGATATAACTTTATATTACCGATAAATAACAATAAACTGTACTCATCTAACAACCATTTACATAACCAAAGCGGATATTTGTGTAAAATTAAGCCCAAAAATCTATGAGATTTTTATATACAGCCCAAATAACGTAAACAAATGTAACCAACTATTATGTGCTTATATAAGAATCCGCCACATACTTCACGTCTTTCAGAAAGCAGAACCCTAACTCAAAGTATATTGAATGCCGACAATTCTACCAATCCACCTACCCAAGCCAAATATGGCTAAAACAAAACTCGAAGGCTGGATGGACGCTAATCGCGATAATTATGAAGCGATGCGTTATCTCTACACAGAGTTTTCAACCAAGTGGGTTTGGCATCAAAGGATCAGAAAGTGGCTCCCTCGTTTACGCGACAGAAGAAATAATGTTCCTTATGATATACGACTATCAGACGTCCCTGAAGAACGTCGTGAACTCTTCTACCTTAAAAATCTGCTTCAAGTACTAAAAGGACCAACGTGCTTCAAAGACATCAGAACAGTAGACGGTGTTACGTACCCAACTTTGCGGAAGCATGCATTGCAGTAGGCTTAATAGAAGCTCGTGACGCCTAAGAGAAGAAGGATAAACCTACCTATATTATATTTAGGGATTTTCTATATTTTTGATTATCTATTATCTCGCTGGTTTTACTTAATAATTAAGATAATTATAAGTTATGGTTCTCCAGATTTTTGGTTTTATTTATTCGATAAATAATAGTGTATTGAGCTTAAAATTTCCAATCTAATAACGTCTCATTATCCGAATACAGTAGATAAAGTTTACAATATTCATTTAGTTTATGTACATATATAAATCATATTATTTTATACAATATTCATAATTTAAGATTATTATATCTTATCTAGCAACATGTAAATTAACTTAAGCTGATAATAAATTTTTATAATAGTTATTCTTTTTATAAATGATATGTACTTTGAAATTTTATTGTAAAGTGTACTACTTGTGTATTATGTTATAACATTCGTAGTCAAACGATACTGATGTGTAAACGTAAAAACGATCATTACTTCAATATATTATTAAGAAGGAATAACAAAAATAGTTATAACATTTAGAACTTGAAGCATAATAATATATTGAAAAATAAAAAATACCCAAACCTAGATAAGAAAACCAATTAACTAATGTATTTTAAATAATGAAGCACTT